GGTCGGGCAGGAAGCCCTCCTACGGTATACCGAGCTATTCTCCTGCGAATCGCCCTGAACTGGGTCGTCCCTTGAGTGACGGGCTGCCTGCAGCCGGTTATGCTGAGCTAGTCGACCCGAGGTCTTTGTGCCTCGGGGCGTCCGAAGAAGAATCGGTGCGTTCTTGCTTGGGAGTGGCCCGAGGTCCATTGGGAGGAGCTCGGGTCTCAAAAGGGGTCAGGGTGCCCCGAACTCGGGACCCCCCGAGGTGCCTTAACCCCGGGGAGGAGGTGCGGGTGAGGCGGCTTTTGACGAGTAGTTTACCTGCCGAGTTTCCGTGCTGAATTCGGTGAGACCTCCGAGTTGTGCTCACATCCATTGTGCTATCATGCTGAGTCATTGTTTGAGCTAGGTCACGCCTACGTGTACCTGAGCTACGAGGTCGGGCCAAATCACCCTCCATCAGAATTAATTTGGGATGAAATTTAGTTGACTGAATAATAATAATAATACGCATTTGAGGCACTATCAATTCCCAAATTAGAAAAATAATCTACCACTCTATTAGCCTCTCCATAAATATGATTAAAAGAGATTCTCATGTGGAGGTTAACAGGTTTATATGGTCAAAGTTTTCTCAGCTAAGTCTAATAAAAATATAACATTACAAAAGTTTGACCAATGTTCAAAATATCAATATGCTCGATACGTTGATAGGGGCGTATTGGGTGATATCAATATATTTTTTTTACTTGTTTTATTTTTTTCAAAATCAGTTAGGGGGGCGATTTAAGGCTCCTCTACCCTTTGAACCGGTCAGAACCCCGATACACCCTCTTTAGAGATGTATCAAGAAGCTCCCAAACGTATCGGCGTACAGGTCAATACGTATCGATACTTTGAACCTTAAGTTTGACTCTACCTTATTACATGGCTCTCTGCCTTTGGGTCCCACTAACTGAATAAGTAATAACAGTTTAATCAAAAGTAGTGTGTGCGTGGGGTTGGGGGAGTTAACTTTGGCTGTTGTGGGCCTTGGGGCCAATAGCATATGCTGTTAAGAGCGTTTTCAGGTTAGACACGTTTGCTAATTCATACTCAGCCCCGACCTACTAACAGGACCTTGGTTGGACATGATATTTTGACATCTAAATACAAGGCAAATTAGGTGGGCATCACATTGCTGTTTATGAGGGTGACTTCATTGCAGCACACAAGTCTCTACCTGGAAATTAAGTTTTCCATGAGAAATAATCAAAGTAAGAAGCCAGGATTTAGCTTTACCACAAAACATAAATCTAAGGAAAGAATTTGAAATGAGCAAGGAATTCAAAATTTCAAATTATTGTGTTTTTGTTTTCATTTGTTTCTAAAATCATTACAGCATTACCATGTATTTGGCTCGAGTGATAATTTGGTCCCAAACTTTAAAATGCAACAATCTAATATCCGAAATTTTGAAATGTGACAATCTAGTATCTGTTATTAATGGACCGTCAGTTATGTATATTATATGTCCTTATGTGCGATTTAAGACTTTTGAAAATGTCAAAATTACCCTTATAAATAAAATACATTGTTCATTGTTTTCTTCCTCAAGAAGATGAAACAAAGCCCAAGCTCTCTGTCACAAACACCAAAACCTTGCAATAGAGCCCAAGCTATCTGTCACAAATACTTGCAACGACTTTGCCTTTCTCGCAAAGTCGTTGCAAGTCTTTGCCAAGAACAAAAAATCCCATGCTTTATACAACTTATTTTTATTTTTTTAACTTAACACAGTAATATTTTATTCCTATAGGTAAAAGAGAGGAGAGCTGGAAGCTTTGTCTTGATACTTGAGAGAGAGAGAGAGAGAGGGATAAGTGATGGTGGCTTGAGACTTTTCTCTTTTCTCGTTTTTTGGATAATATAATTACAATAGTTAAAGGAAAACTTTTCTCCTAGAAATTGCTTTGGTTTTGGTTCGAAGTTGACGGAATATTCAGAGGAGAAGAAAGTTAAAGTGTTGTCACAAGAATGAAAAATTTGGTAGTTGGTTTTGATTTTAGCAAATGGTTGATAAAGAAAATTAAATGATACTTGAAGGGCATTTGTATCTTTTCACATGCCACTTAACAGTTGGTTAATGGTAGGTACTACATTGTCGTGTTCCAAAAATTCAGACACTAGATTGTTCCATTTTAAAGTTCGAGGACCGAATTGTCACTTGAGCCAAACTACAGGGTACTAATAAGGAATTTTCCTTTATTGATTTTGTTTTGAAAGGCAAAAGCACGTTTCAAAAAGAAATTCACTAGCGGAGGGGCCCTGCTTCGCAGGGGCTGGAATGGAACCATCAATCCGTTGACCCGGTCCCTAAGCAAAAATCGTTGAATCAATCAACGATCCATTGACCCGAGCGGTCAAACCATCGACTCGTTGACCCGTTCAATGGTTTTTGGCCTTTTTTTTTTAATTGGGAACCATCCAGGCAATTGGTTCCGTTTTATCCTAATATCGGTCTCTGGCCAAAAGTCGTTGAATCGGTCAATGACCCATTGACCCGGGCGGTCGAACCATTGACCTGTTCAATGGTTTTTGGTCTTTTTTTTTTATTTTTGTTGTCAGAATGGGCCATCCGTTCGAACCGAATAGTCGAACTGTCGACCCAAAAACCGATGGCCAGAACGGTTCCATTTTCAGGTCGTATGAGTCACACGCTCGAATGACATAACACATATGGTACTACTTAATGGACCTCACACACTCAATTTTTTGCCTGTAATTTTTGTTGTCAAAACAGGTTGTCCATTTTTTTTTTATTTTTTTTAATTGGGAATCATCCAGGCAACTAGTTTTGTTTTACCCCAATCCCGATCCCTGGCCAAAAACCATTGAATTGGTCAATAGCCCATTGACCCGAGTGATCGAACTGTCAAGTCATTGACCTGTTCAGTGGTTTTTGGCCTTTTTTTTTATTTTTTTTCAATTTTTGTTATTAGAATGGGCCGTCCATTCAAACTGGACGGTCGAACAATTGACCCAAAAACCGGTGGCCAGAACGGTTCCATTTTCGGGTCGTATGAATCACACACTCGAATGACATAACATCATTGTTTTTAAAATCAACCTGGAGACCGAACTAGTCAGGAGTTCGGTTATCGGGTCGAATGGTCCGGCCATTCGGCCCATTCTAACAAAAAAAAATTTTAAAATAAAAATGATCAAAACCGTTCGAATGGTTTAATATCTAGTTATTAACAATATTTATCATAACTATTATATATTTATATAATTAGATAATTATATATATCTAATTATCTAACAATATTTATATAATTATCTTATATATATATATATTAATAGGAAATGGTTGCTCTCACGTGGGAATCTACTCGCACAAGTAGATTCCATTTCTTGCACGGAGAGAACACCCCTATCCTATATATATGACCTATGAAAAGTTATGTCAATAACTAGATGAGAACATGTTCTTTAAACCAGAAACATTTTTTTTGGAAATAGAAAATGCATATATAATCAAGAAGATATTACTTGTAGTTATGTTATAAAAATCGATTTATTTTCAAATAAGATGGTTTGGATTTATTTTTGAAATTCACAATAAAAATAATAAAGCATATCTTTTTTTAAACGTAGAAAAATCACATTGAAGAATATCCCCTAAAATAATAAACATGAAGTAAAGAGAACATTTCGGAGAGAGAGAGAGAGGTTGCTGCCATATTCCATCAGCACCCACCAACATTAGGTGGGTCTCATATAATATATGAATTATGAAATGGGTAGGGATATGCTACTAATAAAATGCTCCCAACACTGCACCAACATGTTCATTGCAAAGTCTAGATCTCCTACCCACAATGATTCTACCCATACTCATACCTATCCACATAAGGAATATCTCATGCTCTTACATATTATTATGGAAGATGTTCCCAATATTTGAAGGTAATGTTTTGTGGGTAAGTGTAGATAGAATTTTTGTGGATAAGAGATTCAGAGTTGCTTCTACAGCCATTAGGTGGGACTTGTTGGGAGTATTTGGTTGGTAGCATATTTGAGCTCATCCCCTCCGTTTCAGGCTGGTGGCCCAAATAATAGAGTCTAGATCTGCTCCTAACAAGGCGCTCATCACTCCAACCTCACAACGCCTCCCAGCCACACATCGAAAATTAGGGCTGTTCATGGGTCGGGTTGGGTCGGTTTACTGAGGGTTTTCCAATCGACCAGACCTGGTCAGGTTACCTGAACTTGAAACCGAAACCACCCAATGTCAAGCAAAATTGACCTAATTGGTTTGAGTCGGGTTGGGTCGGTTTGGGTCGGTTTCAGCTCTAAGTTCAATCATGCTTGATAGAAACTCAACTGCAATATATATGTGGGGACTGTGGCAGCACAGTATGTGAGGTAGTGAACACGAAAAATGCCTTGTTTTTGATAAACAGGATATACCTCTAGTCCACAGTTTGGACTTTGGAGAGGAGAAGAAGAGYAAAACCCATATATAATAATAATGCCTATTATAGAGGTATATATGTTATATATCTTTTYAGTAATTAAGTTTTATCTCTAAAACCACCAACCTATCCCTTTGATTATATATTCATTTTGAAGTTTAATTGTCTTAATTGGGATTTGGGTGAATTCTATAGGGAGACTTCAGGACAGTTAATTACAATCGTTAATCTATCCAATGTAATAGATTTAAGAGGGACAATTAGTTATGGGAGCTTAATTAATTTAAACTTCATAAAGGGACAATTAATCGGTTCGGTTTGGGTCGATTTCGATTTTTACACAAGAAAACCGAAACTGACCCGAACCATCGGTTTATGATATTTTACAACCCGAAACAGACCCATACTGAAAATAACCCCGCCGACTCGGGTTGGGTTGGTCGGTTTGATCGGGTTGGGCCTTATTATGAAAAGCCCTATCGGAAATTTCGATTCCAAATAATAAGGAGTACATGAGTTACTTGACTTGACAATCTTGAGGTTTGCCTGCCGCTCTTTTTCTTGATAAGTCCACTCATGTGGAATTTTGTGTGGCCTGGCTGTCTTGAGTCTTGACAAAGGACAGTCGAAATTACTGATCAATCACAATACCAATCTATCGTCAATGGATCCCTCAGATTCCAGTCTGAATCTTTAGCAACCATGGTGTCCAAGTGCTTCCAGCTCCGTCTCCATCTCCATCCCCACCTCTCGATTTCCTCGGATGGCCCAAAACAGAGAGCCCCTCGTTTTCTCACTCCTCATCTCCTCCCAATTGCCTCAACTGCCACCGGTTACCAACGTCAACTGCTGCTACATAGAAGATGTTCTTCTCCGGTGATGGCTTCAAGACATGACGACAGACCTAGTCCACAGTCCAGTTTCAAGGACTTAGAGCAGGACGGAGGCCTCACCAATGATGATCTCAAGCCCACCACTCCCCAGCAGCGGACCTTCTCCGGCTGGGAGATGGCCAGTCTCTGGGTGGGGCTGGTGGTGGGTGTGCCTTCCTACTACCTCGCCGGCAGCCTCGTCGACCTCGGCATGGCTTGGTGGCAAGGAATTGCCACTGTCGTCGCTGCCAACATCATCCTCTTGCTCCCATTAGTCCTCACAGGACACCCAGGAACCCGTTATGGCATCTCCTTCCCTGTGCTTGCCCGGTCGGCTTTTGGCATCCGAGGCGCCCATATTCCGACTCTGCTCCGTGCGCTGGTTGGCTGTGGGTGGTTCGGCATCGAGACATGGATCGGTGGGGAGGCCATTTTCCTCCTCTTGCCATCACCCCTCAAACAGACCTCCTTTGCCCATTCTCTGCCCTGGCTTGGCACCTCCCCACTTGAATTCTCCTGCTTTATTGCCTTCTGGCTAGCCCAGATGGCCATAATATGGAAGGGAATTGATGGGATTCGGGACCTGGAGAAGTACTCAGCTCCAATACTCATACTTCTTACATCCTGTCTTGTCGGTTGGGCTTATATCAGAGCTGGTGGCTTTGGCCACATGCTCTCCTTGTCTTCCCGCCTGTCCTCTTCCCAATTCTGGTCCCTCTTCTTCCCTTCCCTCACTGCAAATATAAGCTTCTGGGCAACACTTGCCCTCAATATACCTGATTTCACTCGCTATACCAAGACCCAGAAGGCTCAGATCTTGGGGCAGGCTGGGCTTCCCATCTTCATGGGGGCATTCACATTTGTTGGCCTAGCAGTTACATCCTCTACGAAAGTAATCTTTGGGGAGATAATTTCCAATCCAATTCAACTCCTTGGGAAGATTGGGGGATTCGTGACCATGATCCTCGCCATCGTCGGAATCAGCCTCGCCACCCTTACGACGAATATCGCTGCAAATGTGGTGGCCCCTGCCAATGCCCTTGTCAATCTCAGCCCTTCCAAGTTCACCTTCAGAAGGGGAGCTCTCCTCACAGCTCTGTTGGGGATAGCTTGTCAGCCATGGAGGCTCCTCAAATCAAGTGAGAGCTTCATTTATACTTGGCTCGTCGGCTACTCCGCACTGCTGGGTCCAATCGGAGGGATAGTTCTCACTGATTATTACCTACTGCGTCATACTAATTTGGATATCAATGCATTGTATTCAACCAATCCTCGTGGCTCTTACTATTACTCTGGAGGATACAATTTGGCAGCAATTGCAGCTCTGGTAATTGGAATTTTGCCTGTGATCCCGGGTTTCCTTCACAAGGTAGGAATTGTGACTTCAATTTCGGACTTATTTGTGGTCATTTACAACAATGCCTGGTTCATTAGCTTTTTCTCTTCTGGGACAATCTTTTGGATTCTTTCTAAAAAAGGTTCTACACCCAAAGATCCCCTCCTGCCCGCAGAACTTTAATACTGTTATCTTTCAGTGAAAACAAATTACATTTGTACATAATTCAGGTGTTGCTCATTATTCTTGATTTCCTTCATTCTGGGAACCTGTTATATGTGCTTGTTAGCCTTCTTGTTTATTGGATCATATCTTCTTTGAGAGGAACCAGAAAATACTGCAAAACTGTAAAATGTATTCTTGCTGCCAGTGCAGCTTGTTTTCTGTTCTTCTAATTCTGTTGAGACATGGTGAATTTATACATAGATTATAAAGGATGAGTACGATTGAGATATGTCTTAAGGAGATCAAGTTCAATGCTTTGCACAGAATCTGCAACCAAACTCAAAGTTTTTCCTAAATATTTACCATTGATGTATGCCTTTCCACATCCTTGTTTTCTGTTCTTCTAATTCTGTTGAAACATGGTGAATTTATACATAAATTATAAAGGATGAGTACGATTGAGATATGTCTTAAGTAGATCAAGTTCAATATTTTGCACAGAATCTGCAACTAAACTCGAAGTTTTTCCTAAATATTTACCATTGATGTATGCCTTTCCACATCCTTCTTGTTTAAATTTTCTGGTAATTATAGGATGTTAGTGATCTATAAATTGATGATCGACATAGAAAGAAAGAGGAGGAGTCACCTTGTCCTGGAGGGTTCTAATGTTATCCATTGCTTCTTTGTTTTGGATAAGGGAATACCAGTTCAGAATGTTCAGGGAGGATCCTCTCACCTCTGAAGATTGAGGTTGAGCACTACCTCCAATAACTACTTTGTAACCCCTGAAAGAAGATTCCCAGAAGTAGTACATCAGAAAGAACTAATTCACTAACTCAGACATAGTAATCCCAAAAACTACATTATAACCTACATCAAAAAGCTGTATAAAAGAATGCTGCAAGAATCCTTTCTGGGAAGCCTTCTGAAAATTTGGGAAAACCAGTCCTGGAATGTTCTGACATTATAAACTGTACATTCTAACTAGATAATGTGATGATCTTCTTCCTATTAACAATAACCTCCTCAGTTGTGATTCTGTTTGATTCATGAAGTCTGGAAGATCAATTGGGCTCTGTTGTGGCCTCCATGATAATTCAGTCTGCCAATGTTGCTATAGCTTTTTGCATAGCAGCACAGTATGCCTTTACAGAGAGGATTCCTTCTCTGCTAGGTATGAATGAATTGATGTAAAAGCAGTGCTTGTGACAACCTTAGTTCAATTTCTTTCTTTTGGATTGAAATGGATATGCCTAAATGCAAATTTGATTTATTTATATTTGGATTCAAATCGAATCTTATTCATTGGATTTATGTCAAATTTCAATAAAATTTGGATTACAATTGAATTTTGAATAGCATCAATAAATAAAACAAAAAATGACTTTGGTATTGCATATCATGAACAAAGTGAATTAAAAATACTCTGTATGAAACTTAAAGCTAGGACTCTTTAGACAAGATACAACACCCAAACCAATTTTAATGACAGATACAATATAAATTGAATTGGATCGGATGGGTCAAGGATTTGCATCATGGTTTTTCTAGGGCAAGTTTGCCCATCCCATATATATATATATATATATATATATATATATATATAGTCAGACATGTGGCTCATTTACATTCAGACACCTGTCATTCCAAAGATTTAAACAAATTGGACATGTGTCAAATTCTGATTAGTGGTAGTTCAAGAACAGAGCCTACTAGACATGTGTCAAACTCTAATTAGTGGTAGTTCAAGAAAAAGCCCATTAACATGGAGAGTGGAGCCTACCATCATGGAGAAGTGGGAAACTCCCACTTTCAATCCTTTCCTAAAAAAAAAGGAAACTGTGTTATTAATTAATGTTAACTACTAAACTAATTAATTGATTCCAGTAATTAACTACTTCTAATTAATTATTAAAACTATTAATTACTAATAATGATTATTGTTAATTACTAATTAATTACTGTTTACTACCTCTAATTAATTAATTCCAACTATTATTTACTAATAACAATTACTCACTGATAATAATTAATTATTGAAAATTAATTCTTATAATAATTACTGATAATTTGTTACTCACAATATTGCTCATTATTAAGTCAAAATGTTGATTAATTAATGATAATTAATAAATATTTTCATAACGGTAATTAATAATTTGGAATAATCATTTTATATTTATATTAACTCATATTAATTATTTTGAAAAAAACTAATACTAATTATTTATATTATAATTATTATCAGAAATTATAATTCACACATTTATATGAAATAATTAATTATATTATTATAAGTAATTATAATTAATAATATTATATTAGCTAATACAATTATATTATTATTATTATTATCATCATCATCGTCATTATTTATTATTATTACAAGTAATTATAATTAATACTATTATTATAATTAATTCTATTATTATTCTCTAATAAATACTTCATTTAGTGAAAGTTAAATTATAATACTTTCTATTATTCAATATTGTTCAACTTAAAGAATTATAAAAGCAAATATTATTTTATGAATTAACTAAAAATTGTATTTATAACAAACTAATTACTTAATAAAAACAAAAATAAAATAATAATAATAGTAGTAATAATAATAATACTTTAATATTACTGATTTCAAAATCAATACACAAATAATAAGAATATATTATTAGTTAATAATAATAATATGCTTATTATTGTTACTGATTTCATAATTATTAATATATTATTAATCTATTAATAATACTAATTATTATTAAAGAATGTTAATAGAAAATTTTAATTACTTAAAATTATTTGCTGAAATTACTCATTTTGATTCGGATAGATAATTAATTAATAATTTTAATTTTTATAATTATTATTTACTGAATATTTTTAAATACTCTTTGATTAGCGGCCTTATTTTTTAATAATTGGCTTTTCATGTTCAATAATTTTTTTTTTTTGCAAAAGTCCAAATAATTTTTCATTTGCAATGCTAACCATTTTATTTTTCCCCTTATTCAGTTTTTCAAAAGATAAAAAAATAAATTAATGATATTTACCTATTTTTATCAAATTATTTATTTATCAAGTTGTTGTCATTGATGATGATGATGATGAGTCAACTTTTTGAAAGAGATGAGTACTAATAATAATTAATGACTTTTAATTAATTAATTCCAGCTATTAATTACTAATAATAATAACTTACTGATAATAATTTCTTATAATAATTACTACTAATACTTAATTACTGATATTAAATAATTATTGATAATATTTCTCATTATTAATTTGGAGTTATAATTAATAATTATTTTCGTAATGGTAATTATAATTCGAAAATAATCATTTTATATTTATATTAACTCATATTAATTATTTTGAAAATAAATATAATGCTAATTATTTATATTAGGATTATTATCAGAAATTATAATTCATACATTTATATGAAATAATTAATTATATTATTATCTGTAATTATAATTAATACTTATATTAATTAATATAATTATATATTTATATTATTATTATCAATAATTATAATTAATTATTACTAATAATAATTGATGAGGGCAGATTTGGCCCTCCAGTGAAATTGCGACACGTGGCACCTCGTGACAACTAGGCAAGCCCCCAAGGCAACAACTTACCAAGTTGGTCCCCCCCCCC